CAGTCCGACACGTTCGCCCTGTGCGGGTTCCCCTTCCCGCTCGCTGACATTTGCTGGTGCTGCGGCCCGGGGCTGAGTGGGGCGGCCAGGCTGGCTTGCCTCCTGGCTGGCCTGCTGGGACAGCTGTCTGGGGCCAGTGCCAGCTCCCAGGACCCATCACCTCACAGTTCAGGAGCATTGGCCCAGACACGAGAGGCCTGGGGGCTGCCAGATTCCAGCTGTCGTTCCAGTTCGTACTTTTTAGTAGCTGTGCATATCTGACTCAGAGGGTTTTGTAAGTGCCACTTAAATGTTTTAAAAATCCACCTCCAAGTGACCTTAATAAGCTCGTGATGAGTGGGGGCGGGGCAGAAGCTAGGCTGTGTGGGTGTCCAGTGAGGCCAAGAATTGTTTCTCTCTGACCCCATCAACCAGGAAAGGGAAAGTCTGACCTGGAACTCTGTGCTCTCCCTCCCCCTCCAGCATGTTCCGAGTCTTGGGTCCAAGAGATTCAGATTATTGTGAATTCTTGTTCTTACTGAACCCAGACTGGGTGAGGAGGCCTCAGCATAGCCCTAGGACTTGGTGATTGTGGATAAAAAGACCCACCAGTATCTATTATGGACTGAATTATGTCCTCCCAAAATTCATATGTTGAAGCCCTACCCACCTAGGACCTCAGAACATGACTGTATTTGGAGATAGGGCCTTAAAAGAAGTAATTGAGTTAAAATGGGGTTATTAGGGTAGGCCCTAATCTAATCTGACTGTGTCCTCATAAGAAGAGAATAATTGGACATGGAGGAAGAGAGAGAGATACCAGGCACCTGTGCAGACAGAGGGATGACCATGTGAGGACACAGGAGAAGGTGGCCGTCTGCAAGCCACGGAGAGAGACCTCAGAAACCCAACCTGCTGGCACCTTGATGTGGGACTTCCAGCCTCCAGAGCTGTGAGAAAATACTAGTACGTTTCTGTTGTTGAAGCCGCCCACTCTGTGGTGTTTTGTCATAGCAGCCCCGGAAAATAAACACAGAATCTTTAGACAACCAATTCTGACTCTTCCCCTGCTGCCCTCGGGGACAGAGGAGGGAGGCACGCCCTGGGCCTGGGCGAGGAGCCCTGATCCTGGATTCCAAAACCTGTCTTTGACTTCACTGGTGCTAGCAGGGCAAGATTTTGAGTAATCCGGCCCAGTTCTCAGCAAATTGACATCAAAGTTGGGTAGAGATCTAGTGAAGGAAACCAGAGAGACTGTAACTCGGAGAATTTCACAGGTGTGTGAGGAGAATGTTGTGTGGGATGGTAGCTGAGATATGCTGATAAGCACCAGTTGTCACGAGTGAAGGCAACAAAAATCTGGAAGTTCTGGTTTGCCAAAGAGCCTGGCACCCCAATAAGCTGTTGACTTCCCAGGCTGAAATTTGAAGCCCTTTTATCTGCACCCTGTCTCTTCAATGTTATTATGTTGTTGAAAGGAGTTTTTAGGGGTGAAATAGGCAGGGTTAGGAAATTTTAGGAAAGAAGGGGTCCATGGAAAAAGCACAGGGGTACAGAAATGCAAAGGGTGCATTTCCATAGAATAAGGGAGCTGGGGTAGCAGAAGGTACATTTCCATAGAATAAGGGAGCTGGGAGCTGCAGAAAATATACATTTACAAAATAAAGAAAAGGAAACCCCTCATTCAGAGAGGGAAGAGGAGAGCCCAAAGGGAATAGGAAAACAATAAGGGAGAAGGAGGGAACCTCACGTACCTCACAGAGGTTTGAGCTCCGAAGTTGCCATAGTGACCAAATCAGAGGGGATAGTGACCAATCAGAGGGGACATCAAGGCACAAAGATCTGCAGCCTTTATAAACGGTAGAGAAAAGGGACTCAGGGTGACTCCTTTTCCCTCCCCACATGGGAGCCTGTCCCTGTTTCTCAATAAATTTCCACCTTTTACTATGCCACCCTTTGTCCGTGGTTCCATTCTTCAACTCCACTGAACAAGAGCCCGGAACCATCCTGCACAGGGGAACTCCACGAGTTCCAGTCTGGTTTCCCGTATCATTATCATCGGCAATGTCATTGGAACACAAGTTCAAGGGAGATGGCAAATCCGTATTTGACCTTTTTCCTGTGTCTTTCTAGGTGGGATCTAGGTTCCTCTTCCTTATTGAATAGGACCTTTTAAGAAACTTAGTTTTCCTCTTTCCCAATGGAATCGTTTTTCTTATGGAATTCAATTTGCTTGACATTTCTGTCTCTTCTGCTTAGTTTAATAAAAGATGAGGGCAGGGCCCTGTGCGTGTTTTGTTACTGATAGCTGCTCTTCTCCCTCTCAGCCTTGTCATAAATTGCATTAGGGCAGGCCCCGTGTCCTATTCTGTCATCACAAAGCAGACCTAGGCCGGGCCTGTCAACAGAATATGTCGTAGGACGTGCTGTGTGCCTGAGAGCGTGCGGCATCTATGTTATTGGGGCATGGTACCATCCCTGGGATCACACCCCAGACAGAGCCGGGCGCACTGGCCTATCACGCATCCAAATAGCAGACCCAAATGTTGGCAGGCAGAATTGTCCTCCTCAGACTGCTGTGTGGCCTTTAAACTAAGCCAAAGAGACAGAAACTTCAAGCAAATTGAATTCCATAAGAGAAATGATTCCATTGGGAAAGAGGAAAATTGAATTTCTTAAACGGTCCCATTCAATAAGGAAAGAAAGAAGAACCTATACCTAACTTGATATTCCCTAAACTCCTCTGGCTTTAAGATTTCTCCTCTTTGGTGCTGTGAAATAAATGATCTCTAACATCCCTTCTTGCTCTCTCCTTCCCTAGAGCAATGTTTTCCAAACTCCGCTTTGTGGGAAGTTAATATTTGTGCTGGGGTCGGGGGCTTGCTGGTCAAATAAATTTGGAAAGTGCTTCTGACCTTATCCTTTTAATGTTACAGGGCACACATGCATAGTCATGTCTCTGAGAAGACCACAGATAAGAAACCTGTTTAATGGTGTTTAACCAAGCATTTCTCAAGTACAGGTGCCTATGCAATTTGCAGCATTTTTTATGTGTTAAGTGTTCTGGCTGACAGTTGCTTTCCTGGGCAGGATTCTGGGGTGCATGGTGGTGTAAAGACTTCTCCAGGTTCCTAAGATGACTGAGTTGCCTCAGGTGAAGGACACAGAGCACTATCTCTGATTTGCAAAGGTCATTGGAGGGGTATCATTGCCATTTGATTAGGAAATAGTTGTCCATTTTAAACCGTGTTTAAGCAGTTGGTTTCTGGAATCTAATAAATTGCCAATCTAATTATCTCTGGCTCAACCAATAAGTCAAATTTGGGGGACCATGACTAGGAAGGAACTCCTTTATTGGCTAACTGTTCAAAAAGTCACTTTCAATATCGGATTGCCCCTCTCACCGCCCCCCACGCTCCACCCCCAACCTTCCCTCACGGGCCGCCCTGCCTTGGAAGAAGCCAGGAACTGGTGCAAGTTGCTTTTAAACTAGAATTCTGTATTAGCCCCAGAAAATAGCTACAGCATTACGTGTGGTTTCTTCTTCCCCCTTTCATTTCAAATCAGGTCTGAATGATAATCTGAGACTGCAAGGGAGTAGGAAAAACTGGCGTCCATTACATCCAGAATGAAGGCTCAGGGGATTAAAAAAACACACGCAACTATAAAGACTTCCATTCCGTCCTTATGGTAAGAAGCCCGAGACATGAACAAAAAACGCTAGGGCTAAGGCAGGGACTCACTGTCAGGAGAATGCTAAGCATTAGGCGCAATCAGGGGATTTCAATAAATGCAATGGGCCTTTGGCAGCCGCCAGCCTGTGACAGCTCTGCAATGCCAAGCATGTTATCAATGAGTCCTCCAGTCGTGCGCCTTCATCTGGCGCCTGGCGCTGGGGCCAAGTCAGGAGGACCTTATCAGGGGCAGAAACTTCCAGGCAGTGGCCTGGCCTGGAGGGGGGAGGCGGAGAGCCATGAGTCTGGCTCTCCCCAGAGCCATTTCAAAATAAAACAACAAAAATACCACCCAGAGAGGAAGAGAGGAAGCTGGGAAAGTTCCGTTGCTCAAACTGTGTATCTAAACAATGCGACTGCATAGTCTGTCAATGGGGAGACTGTGGGAGCTGGGATTTATGCCTTTATTGCAGGAATGAAATGATCGCACTTAAAACAATGATGCCAGTTTCCGTCTACCTCTTAGCCAACACCAGTCTCTGATGCTGGAAATATTTTATCCGAAGTGTCTTCTCCCATTTAAACTGTGTCTTTACAGCATTTCCAGTTTGCAAAAGCTCCGGTGTTCAAAAATAACCGGGAGAAACACTGGACTGTGGGTGGCGGGTAATCCAACCCTGCGTCGGGCATTACTGGCCAGGGGAAAAATGCCTCTTTCCTGAGCCTTTCCGGATGAGGTCATTGTTTTCAGGCAGCCTGGGTCTCGTGTAAAGGACTCAGTGCCCAGGCCTTGTCTCACACCAGCATTTTGTCCTGGAACAACATCTGAAGCCACGATGGACAGTCAGGGTGGGAGGAAAAGGCAACTCCCTGTTCACAGCATTTTTGTTAAATCCCAGTATTAAAAACAATAATAAAAAGCCCATCTGGTGGGATGGTAATTCTATTAAATGAAAAGAGGAGGCAGGAGGCATGGGGACACCCACCCTTTTCTTTCTTTGTCTCGTGTGTTTGCATTATTGTGGGATGACAGTGACCAAAGTCTGGGTCCCCGATGGTGCAGAGTGGAGGAGAATCCGGGGTGCATGCAGGATGTGTTGTGATAGCGGCCTCCAGGCCGGACAGTTTCTTACAGGTGTGTCAGCAGCCGCCGTGGTCTTTAGAATCGGGAAGAGACGGAGGCGGGAGACAATAAGGGTTTGTGGGTTCCGTACATGAGGAAGGAGCTAGCATCATGCAGGAAACTCCTCATTCTTCCTGAGCTAGATTGTGGCACACCCTCTGGTGGCACACCCCTCGCTGGAGCCCAAGTCAGCCCACAAACTCCTGGGAGGCAAGCCAGGGCCCCACCAAGCCTCTCCCTTGAGGAGTGGACGCCGTCCTTCCGTGCGCCAGCCCCTAGTGAGGATCCCTGAGGTCCCAGGTCTGTGCACGCCCATGCCCGGGGAGCCGGCTCAGCTCATGGATCCCGAGCCTGCTGTCGGGGACGACCAAGGTTTGACGGTCCATTTTGTAAACTCGCATATGTACTGTCTGACATAGACCAGATGGGGAGGGATGCAGGGTCTTGTCTATTGGTGAAGATGATTCTTTGCTTATTATAATATGTTAACACTCTGATCTATGAATGTGCACGATACATATGTGTATAAAATGCATATCTTATATATCAACATATTTACAGATATCATGAATATAATGGGAATTTAAAATTGACACAGCTGTTTTATAGCAGGAGTTGGGCTATGCTAGTTACATGTAGGCGGCTTGGTCTGTTGGAGCACTTTAAAAAGAGCCTTCAGTGGCTGTGGGGAAACCCCTCTGATTCTATTTCTGCTCACCTGCTCTTTTTCTTCCTTCCCTCATTCCCAGGACAGTACCTGTGTTAACACAGCTTTGCAATGAAATCTTTCATCCCCCTGTGGATGGAGTTTGTCTCCTTGGGTGGGGCACACTGGGTGCTTTGTTTGAACTTGGATGCTGCCCCCGGAAGGCTTCCCCTACAGTTGTCTTTGACAGGCAAGTTCATTCTCTGTTGAGGCTGGCTGGCTGCAGGCATGGCCCAGCGCCTCCTGCGCAGATCCCCAGGGCCCGCAGACAACACCGGGGCCTCAGAGGCAGCCCAATGCGATCTTGCTGGCTGTTTCCATCAAAACCAGCAGACTGTGTCAATTTGCGCTGTTTCTTTTGATGCTAGGCCCCTTGAGATAAGAGATTGTAACTTATTTTGGTTTCTGCAAAGTAAGCCGGTGGGTAATTCCACGTAAGGCAGACAGGCTTTGTGCCCTCCCGCCTTCACTTCCGAGTGCCTACTCGTCTCGGTTCGCCAGGACGGAGCCCAGCTCTGCCTTCCCACCCGGGACTGGTAGGGCTGGAGCCCGAGTACGCTGCATGGCACATGCACACACTTGTTGAGAGGCACAGGAGCTGGGGGTTGGCACACTCCACAGCTGATGAATAATTCATGGTGACTTCTTGTGCCATAAAAGTTTCTCCTGAAAATGGACGTTATTTTAAAAGAGGATGGGGATTGAAAAATCTGGAAATGTGCTTTTGTATTTATTGATCTGCCTCCGTCATGTACTGGGAAGACAAAAGTTGACAAACATCAGAATCATAAAATTGAAAGCTGACAGTAGGCCCTGTGTAGGCAGGGAGCCAAGAACTCTGCCCCGACTTCTCCCTCCCTGTCCTTTCCAGGTGTAACCTCACCTGATATTTACAAAAGGCCTCTGGGTTCCTGGACACTCTCCTGGCTCTCCTGGGAGATAGAATCTGAATTGTAATGGAGCCTGGTGTGTGTTAATTAGCAGCAATGTATTACTGGTAGTTTGAGTTTGGAAACTGTTGATTCAAGGGCTTTTTCTAGCCGAAGGGGTCTTAGAGATAAAATTAGAATATCTAATGATGTCCGTATGTCTATTTGAATAAATTTGAAACCCTCTGTTTTCCTTGCACTGTAAAAAGAATGGGTTTTAGTTTTCATTTCCAGGAAAGATAGGACAGGTTTTGGAAAATCCTACATGGCAGAGAGATTATAAGTAAGCAGAGTAAGTCATACATCTATCTATATCTATATCTATCTCTATGTCTATATCTATATCTATATCTATCTATATCTATATCTATATCTATATCTATATCTATCTATATCTATATCTATATCTATATCTATCTATCCATCTATGCATCTATACACCTATACACCTTTATCTACATCTATATCTACATCTATATCATCTATATCAATCTATGTCTATAAAGAGAGAGATCAAAGTAGAAAAACAAGAAATGTGATTTCTTTTCTCGGCTTTTTACTATCCCCTGTTCCACTCCATGGCATATAATCAAGGTATTTGAAACCTTGCCATTGCTGCCAGCTGGCACGTACGGGAAGTGCGTCCCTGGAACACTCCACAGTTGACTTGAGTCTTGGTCGTAATGCAATTGGAAGTTGGCACATCGTCCAGGCGCACCTTATGTTTGAAACATACGGGGTTTAAACAATACTCTGCATTGTTTTAAAAGTTCTCTCCATAGGGAATATTAACAAAGCACTTTAATTACTTTTTTTTAAATAGATGGATATCTTGAAAGGGTATATAATGAATAAGTTTGCCGTGCTCAAATTTTGTCCCTTATTCTCGTGACTGCGTCCCCGATGCTTTAAAGCAACAACGTTTTCACCGGCTAGCCCATCCCTCTTTAACGAGAGCCCGTCCTCCAGTCCCTCTCCTGCCACGCCTTGAAGGCATGAGCTGGTTAGTTAGATGGCTGTTGGTGTCAGACTTAGACTCAGAGATCCACTAACCTTCTCCAAAGGATATGCTTAGAGCGAGTCTTTACATGCAATTCATTAAGGCATATGAGATACCAGCCTTCTATTGTATATTAAAATCTAACTGCTGACATGTACTCCTCCATCACTGACTTAGTTTAAAGGTTGGAGTGGTAGGTAGGGAATTCATTCAGAATATGGGAATTTAACAAAACTTGTCTCTAAAGGCCATTCATTCATTTCTAAAAGGGGGGAGGGGAAACGCAATGTGCTGATGCGCACCTTTTAGGTTTCATGTGAGAGAGTGGAAGGCTGGACAGGTTTTTCTGCTGTAACAGCAGTTACAGTGCCACTGCAAATGAGCTCTGCCAAGGTCGGTGACCAGTGGGTCAATCAGAGCAGAGCAGGGCAGGAACTTGTCTGAGGACCACTGAGCATCGGGTTTGGATAAAACAGTGAACAACCGAACAGGCCTTGTTTGGCCCGTGGTTGAGCGTTGACCTATGAACCAGGAGGTCATGGTTCGATTCCCAGTCAGGGCACATGCCTGGGTTGCAGGCTCGATCCCCAGTAGGAGGTGTGCAGGAGGCAGCCTATCAGTGATTCTTTTTCATCCTTGATGTTTCCATGCCTCCTCCCTCTCCCTTCCTCTCTGAAATAAATAAAAATATATTTTTAAGAAAAGAACAGGCCTTGAGAGTGCCTGTCGAGGCTCCCTCCCCCACAGCCAACATTCACAGGGTCCCCACACCAGGCTTCCTTGACGATCTTAAGGGAACAGAAACTCCCCAGGCCCAGAATTACTCCCCTTTATGATGGTTGGGAACCATATCTCGTGCTGACCTGTAAATTGATGTGGTTTAGAGTTAGAAGATGAAGAGGATACACACTGCTTTTGGAAAAATGTCACCCTGAGCATCGTACTGTTTGATGGGAGGCACTATCAAATAGGTAGAACTATAATTGTTACTATAAGGGGATATATTTTCCCCTTATATGATGGGGTGGAACTATTTGATAAAAAGCACACCCCATTGACTATTTTTAAATGGTTTATTCTCCCTATTTTTTCATATATAAGATGTTTCTGGCTACACGAATACTGAAGTTGCAGGTTCCTGACTTTAATTACCCATTTTACTTTTGGGCTGTTGGCCTCACCCATGTCTTTATTATTATTATTCATTATTACTATTATTATTATTACTTTAAAGGCACTCTCATGGCAGTAGTCTGCCTCTAATTGGTAGCTTCATCAGGGAGGGTGCCCTGATGTGTCATGGAGCCCTCCTTGGACTTGGCATTGGAGCCGCTGGTTAACATTCTGCCTGTTGTTAATTTACGAAGCACCTTTCAGCAGGTGGCAGGCATTGAGCTAGGTGCTGTTCAGAATACATCTCCGTCATTTAGAATCTATAACCTTGGAAGGATCCCTGGCATGTATGTGCCAAAGATGTGCTGGGCAACTCACCAACATGAGAAATTAGAAAGGACCTGGGCAGGGTGAAAAGCGCAAGGCTGGGCACACAAGATGGAAGAGGCTGTGACCACCTAAGCAGGTTGGGATGCCGGCGGGGCGGGGGAGAGACCTGGGGCTCCTTGGGATATAGATGACCCCACCGGCTTCATGGGGCACACTCTGACCACAGGCCACTTTGTACCATGTCTCCATCATGAGGGCCGGAGGTCTCTGGTCCTCAGGACCCCTCTCTGCCCCTCCTCACTGCCAGAGCCACAGGGATTGGGGATGTATTTTCCCCTTGCTAAAATGACTACTCTGGTGAATTTCAAAGTTATCTTCTTCTAATATATCTCTATATAAAAGCCTAATATGCAAATTGTCCCCTTGGGAGTTCAGCCAGGAGACCAGGAGTTCGGTTGCTCGCTATGACGTGCGCTGACCACCAGGGGGTGGTGCGGAACGGAGGAAGGCCCCGGCCGACAGTTGCAAGGCCCTGATCGGCCCTGATGGCCACCAGGGCTAGGGGACCTACCCATATATGAATTTCGTGCACCAGGCCTCTAGTAACTGTATAATTGTGGGCTTGCAAAAGGAAAGCATGTTCTTTCTGAACACAATGTCAAGCTCTTGAATTCTAGAGACAGAGAGGTTTGGTTCACGTCTCAGCTTTGATACCTACTAGCCCTGTAACCTTGGGCAAGTGCCTTAACTTCTCCAAGCCTCAGTTTCCACGTCTACAAAATGAAGCTAATAGTAGTACCTCCTTTATATGCTTGGGGGGATTAAATGAGGTTGTCTAAAACCTATGGCACAGGGCCTCGCCTGTGTAATGAGTGGCTTATGTAATTAGCAATTATAGTTCTACCTAAGAAATCCAGACGCTTCCCAATTATTTATGTTATTGCGTAGTGCTTTGGAATCCAAAGTCTTGATTCTGCTTCGGTTATTTCATTTTAATATGTATATTTTATGTTGCTTACTTTACATTATACAAATTGTGGCAGAATAAGCTTCTATTATAGAAATTTCAAACACAATAGGAAAGGCGAAAAGTTCTCTTGGACCACCTTTCAAATGTAGGGAGTAACTGCTATTATTGGTTTTAGTTATTCATTTCCTTTTCATCAACATGATGCATGTTCCTAGTTTTAAAAGTCGAACAGTGTCTTCTCCCATGAGTGAGAGACAAAGGAGTGTGTGCCAGGGACTCTAGTTTTTCTGTCCTGACTCTGTGATGACAGGAACTGTGGCATCT